TTGAATTAGTAGTCAGCAAGGGGTGTTGGCTATATCCCCCTAGCCCAGGAGTATAGACAACTACCTAAGAATGTCCTCTTCACAGTGTAGTAAGATAGCAACCTTACAGTAAATGTCATGGACTGGGGCTGGGGGTAAGGGGGAGCAGAAGAACTAAATTACAAATATAATACAATTAGTTATTTCTCTATTTTAGTTTAATTTTCTTGGTTTGGGTTTTTGTTTTTTGTTTCTGGGTTTTTTGTTTTGTTTTTTTTTGTTTTGTGTGGTTTTTTTTTTTTTTACAAACAAAGTCTTGCTCTGTCACCCAGGCCGAACCGTAGTAACACGATCTCAGCTGACTTCAACCTCCGCCTCCCAGGCTCAAGTGATTCTCCCACCTCAGCCTCCCAAGTAGCTGGGACTACAGGCACATGCCACCACACCCGGCTCTCTTATCCTGTTAGAATTTCTTAGCAAATTCAGAGTTCCTAATTCTTTTTTTTTTTTTTTAAATGAGGTGGGTTCTCACTCTGTCACCTAGGCCAGAGTGCAGTGGCGCAGTCATGGCTCACTGCAGCCTGAACCACCTGGGCTCAAGTGATCCTCCCGCCTTGGCCTCCCAAACTGCTAGGATTACAGGCATAAGCCACCACGCCCAGTCCTGAATTCTATTTGTTTTTTTTTTGTTTGTTTGTTTGTTTTGAGACAGGTTCTCACTCTGTTGCCCAGGCTGGAGGGCATTGGCTCAATCTTGGCTCACTGCAACCTCTGCCTCCTGGCCCAAGCAGTCCTCCCACCTCAGCCCCCCAAGTAGCTAAGACTACAAGCACACAGCATCATGCCCAGCTAATTTTTGTATTTTTTTGTTGTTGTAGAGACAGGGTTTCACCATGTTTCCCAGGCTGGTGAACTGAGCTCAATTGATCCTCCCACCTCAGCTTCCCACAGTGTTGGGATTATAGGCATGAGCCTCCTTGCCCAGCCCTGAATTCATTTTTAAAATGATATTCAGAGAAATATATTATCTTAATCTTCATAGTTCTTTTAACGGCCTTGTAATTTCTCCTTTGTATAGTACAGAAAATCCCACTGAAATAATTTTTTATTTCATATTTTAGAAACAGAAAATACGAAGTTCTTGTGAAGAAAAAGACAAAGTCATGAGACACAAGATGGGGAGGGTTTGGGGGAAATTAAGAAACTCAGTATTTGGCCAGGCATGGTGGCTCATGTCTGTAATTCCAGCAGGTTGGGAAGACGAGGCAGGTGGATCACTTGAGCTCAGGAGTTTTAGAACAGCCTAGGCAACGTGATTAAACCCCTTCTCTACAAAATATGCCAAAATTAGCCAGATGTGGTGGCATATGCCTGTAATCCCAGCTACTTGGGAGGTTGAGGTGTGAAGATCTATTGAGCCTAGGAGTTCAAGGCTGCAGTGAGCCATGATCACACCACTGTACTCCAGCCTAGGTGACAGAGTGAGACCCTGTCTCAAAAATAATAATAAACTCAATTTTTTGTGATAAAATTTTAAAGAATGATTAAGGATGGTATTATAGTAAGTAGTATGGTACATTGGGAAAAACATTAAACTAGAATTTGTAGTGTTGTTTTTTTTGTTTGTTTGTTTTGCTATTTTGAACCATTAGATAGATATATGATCTTGAGAAAATCATTTAATCTCAGTTTTCTTGTCTGTAATGTGAATATATAATCATACTTGTGAGAGAGATGCAGAGAGAGAGAGAGAGAATACACATTCATATTAAAACTCTTTGTTACAGGAGGAAGTTAGGGGAAAATTAAATCTTTTCACCACAGAGACTGAAATAAGGTTCCATACTGTCAGATCATATAAATTTAAAAATCACTTCTGAAACTTTAGCCCTCTACTCTTTAAGCAGAAAAACTTCACCTAAAGAGGTCTATGGCCTGGCTGAGATTCAAGGGGAGAAATTTTTGTTAGGAAGGAAGGTGCAATTACAGCAAGACAGTCTGGAAGTGTTGGCTGATTCCCTCTTAGAAAATCCTTGGGCAGTAATTCTGACCTTGCCTGGGGATTGTAAGAGAATATTACTATGATCAACTCTGGGAGAGGAATGTGCTTAAGAAGCACATTTTAGAAGTGCCTTACTCCTACCAGAGAACTCTGGGGATTTCCCAAGACCTGTGTCTGCGTTGCAAGGAGTGTCTGGTTATAATTAGTCAGATTTCTGTTGTGTCATTTTTGTGGTAAGTTAAAGATTTCATTACAGTTAATCAGTCATACAATGTATAAATTTATATATATATATATATATATATATATATATATATTTTTTTTTTTTTTTTTTTTTTTTTTTTTTTTTTGAGACCTGGGCCAGAATGCAGTGGCACGATCTCAGCCTACTACATCCTCCACCTCCTGGGTTCAAGTGATTCTCCTGCCTCAGCCTCCCAAGTAGCTGGAATTACATGCACACGCCACCACCCCGGGCTGATTTTTGTATTTTTAGTAGAGATGGGGTTTTGCTGTGTTGGCCATGCTGGTCTCAAACCCCTCACCTCAAGTAATCCACCCAGTTCGGCCTCCCAAAGTGCTGAGATTACAGGCATGAGCCACCACTCCCAGCCTAATTAGTCATATTTTAATTAGACCTAATTCAGGACTGATTTTTCTCAGACTATCCTTCTACCTGTTTGCACCTGTATCATTTATTTTGGGAATAAGTAGTTTTAACTTTAACATAGACTATGAGTTTTGAGTTCATATCCTGAATATATTTTAGGCTTTCTAAAATAGCAGCCCTGCTACATGCTGATATGGCAGGTTGCAGCCTACCTAGTATGAGAGCCCATCCTCATCAAGCATAGCCATAGGGTAGGAATTCTGCATTCTTCAGCTGTTGAGGCTTTGTCATGAGTCTGTGTCCTGAGCTTATGGCCAAATGTGGCCCAGGAACCCAAGTACACACACAGCTGTCCCCCTGTATCCTTAGCTTCTCACCGGCTCCTTTCCTTGCTGGGATGGCCTTCTGCTCTGGACCTTAGCCTGCTCGCCTGGGTCCTTAACAACTTACCCAACTCTTGCCAGGCCCTTCTCACCAAGGATTCCTCCCAACTCCCCTGCACATAACTACAGCCTGGATTCTCCCTAGCTCTACAGCTTGCAGTATTACACTGTCTAGAGATTCCTGTTGCTGTGCCTCACACTACAGGACAGACTTCCTGGCACTACTAAAGCCAGCCTAGATCAACCCAAGTTAATCACATCCTTACAAACACTGTGATTGGAGCTGCTGGCCACCCTGAGGGAACCAGCCCATAGCCCAGTTAGCTCCCTGGCCATTGTGGGTTTCTTCCCTTTGCAGGCACCTGCTGCTAGCATCCCTTTGTGCACTAATACTAGCTAGGGAGGGTTCCAACTCCAGTCATGCCAGCATGCACAAATTCTCCAGGGACACAAAGGGTGGTTTCTGTGGAAAAAGGAGCTTATTTTCTGCCTCCACTGAGGATATCCTCAGAGTAAATATATGCACAACAAATGCTTTAGTACTGTGACATAAAATTATTTGTTGGCCAGGCATGGTCACTCAAACCTGTAATCCCAGCACTTTGGGAAGCCGAGGCAGGTGGATCACTTCAGGCCAGGAGTTTGAGACCATCCTGGCCAACATGGCAAAACCCCATCTCTACTACAAATGCAAAAATTAGCTGGACGTGGTGGCACATGCCTGTAATCCTAGCTACTTGGGAGGCCAAGGCGTGAGAACTGCTTGAACTTGGGAGGCAGAGGTTGCAGTGAGCTGATACCGCACCACTGCACTCCAGCCTGCGTGACAGAACAAGACTGTCCCCAAAAAAGTAAACTAAAATAACTTTTTAGTAGGCAAAGTGAGATACAGTTGCTGTATTAAGTAGTATTAAGTTAAAATACAACTCTGTTACCTGCTGCAACAAAAGATATACAATTGCAAAATTACTGCAGTGCAGATCTAGCACCAACAATCTGAAATGCAGTCTCTAAGCTAAACATAATCTTTTTACAGATTTAATTAGTTGGGAAATTAGGGATGCTCAGGGTTGAACAGCCTGGGTCTGTCATGGAGAGAATGTTTAACCAATAGAAGGCCTATAAGGCTTTAGAAACAGAAGTCCCTCATTGGCTTTCAACCAAACTGAATCCATTACACCTGCCGAATCTGTCCAGAGTCCATTTCTTCTTAGGAACCACTAACTACCCGGCCATCCAGATGTGCCATGTGTTTTCTGCCACCTGCTTTAGAGAAACATCTGGTGTCTTTATTACCTTGCTGTGGCTGGGGGAATTTTCCATTCCCCTCCATGGCCTTCTGTTCTTTTGAGTGAGTGTTGTTTGTGCTACTGCATATAGATTCAAATTTACTGTCCAGATTTCCTCCTCTTTGTGCAGTGCTGACTCATTTTCCCCAGATATTTGTTTCTGTGCAGCTTGCTGTAGTCCCTTGGTCTCTCTTGGAAAATGACAGTAAGGCATTTTTGAAGTGTTAGAAGGCTTTTGCTGGGGTTTTATCCAGCTCTCCCTGTTTGGTTTATTGGCAAAAGAGTCCCACTGTGCATTTATGTAGAATTTACCCATTATTTCTATTCCTGCCTTTCAAGTTGGAACCAGGTTAGCAAATGATAGAAAATTAAATCCAGATGATTTGTGATAAGAAATATGTTTTGTGAAAAAGACCACTCAGTCATAAAGAATGCTCAGAATTAGATTATGCAAATGCTTCTGTTATCACACTGTCAAGTGGTACAGGCACTCCTGATTTTGATTCAAGGCAAGGAAATTCTATTTAGCTTTTTATTTATTTAATGTTTCTGTTTTAAATGAGCAGGACCTCACTAAAGCATAAAAGAAATTAGGTCTTCAATAGGGCCTGCCTCGTAATCACCTATGTGCTTCATAACCCAACAGAGATGATGAATAAATTTGCTGTGGCCTCATAGTTTATAATTTACATCTGCAGTGTTTCAACAGCAATGGTTTTCATGCTCTTTAATTTCAGGAAACCTGTGATCTGGGGAAGATAAAACCTGAGGCCAGACGATACTTGGAAAAGTCCATTAAAATGGGGAAAAGAAATGGGCTCCATCTTCCTGAACAAGTACAGAATGTGAGTTTCCTTTTCTTACCAGAAAAAGAAATGAATAAATAAAACAAAATACTGGTTGAACGTCCCTAATCCAGAAATCCAAAATGCTCCTCAGGCTGAAACTTTTGGGTGCCAACATGATGCTCAGAGGAAATGCTCATTGGAGCATTTCAGGTTTTATGGGTAGGTGTGCTCTACTGGTAATAATGGGAATATTCCAAACTCCAGAAAACTCCAAAATCTGAAATGTTTCAAGCCCCAAGCATTTCGGATAAGGGATATTCAACTTGTGCAACAAAAAACAGAAAATAGGGAAACAGATGGCTTATAATAAAATAACCCATAATACAAATTCATCTACAATGTATTTAGTGGTTTTACATTCTACAACTCCTATTAACCTCAGGAGTTAACCTCAGGAGTCTGTTTGGTGACGGACAAACAACTGATAACTTAAAATTGTTCTTTAACCTTGTACAAGTTTTATTTGTTTCATGTGTGTTGGGTGAGCTTATTTTCCCTACCCTGTTTTACGTTCTTTAAGAGCTGATTTCAGGTCCTAGTAGTTGGTTTGTCTTTTCACTCCCTTGGTCATACAGAGATGGGGCACTGATTATAAAATCCTTACCGATGGAGAGTTTTTAAACTTTGGAATGGAGTATCCTATGTTTAATACATGCCCCTTAAGAGAAAAGAGATTAGCTGCTGAAAGATGCCTCTCAAAGTTTTTCTTTTCTCTGATGCCAGTCAAGTCTTCCAGGTTCAAAAATAAATTAGGCTCCAGAAATTTCTTCTTGGAAAGGAAATACAGTCCATGATTTATTTCCAGGTCATTCTTCTAGCCCGCAGGACTGGGAATAAGTTTGGAAGAAATCCAGATCAAGTGTTGTCAGCATGTTAGCTATGACCACAGGCACCACTGAGATATGGGTACCTTTCTCCCACCTAAAGCCCTTTCATCACCTTGTATCCTCTTCCTTCACCTAGTTAGAGGAGAAATGTGATTGATCTCACTTACCTGACCCTTTGCTTTCCCGGTCAATTCTTAATTCTGTTTGGAGCATGAACACTGTGTTAGTTAAGATATGCTTGGTTGCAGCTAACAAAACCCTATTTAAATGAGATTTATTTCCTTGCATAACTGGAAGATCAAGGGGTGAGCTGCATGGGTTGGTTTGATCCTGATGCACAGTGGAGTCATTGGCCATCTGATTTTTCTATTTCTCTACTCTGTCTTCCTCAGTGTTAGTTTTATCTAAAGACTGGCTTCCTTTCATTACTAAAGTGGCTATAAATCTAAAAACTCCACCATCCAGAAGGACATAGAGAAGCCACTAGTAAACTTCTCCTCATGTCTTAATGGCCCAGAGTGGATCCTGTGGTTAATCCTGAATTCCCTTTTAGTCAATGGAATGCCAGGCCTGGGTTATCTGAACAGTCTCGAGGGCAATGGGGTTAGAATGACGGCCCAACTGGTGCAGAAGTCACACCCCTAGAGTTGCAGATAGGATCAGGTCCTATCTGAACTACATGGGCACTGCAAAGTGGGGCAGAGGTAGAAAGGGGGTTGAGGAGAGTATCAGAAAACACCACTGAACAATGTGTTAGGTCAGTAGCGTCAAATTTAGTGTGCATCAGAATTACACGGAGGGCTTATTAAAACTCTGATTATAGGACTCGACTCTTAAGAGTTGGCACTTTAGTAGGTTTAGTGTTGGGGTCTCAAGAATTTGCGTTTCTAACAACTTAGGTGATGGTGATGCTCCTAGCCAGGGCCACACTTTGAGAAGCAGTAAATTTCATTGTGTAACATTGTTAGAAGAATGGGACAGATTAATAAAATTGTATCATGATTTTTTTGTTTTTTTTTTTCTGGTGGTTTCCTTCTTATTGCTTCGTTTGATCTCCCTCCTAGTACTTTTTATGCGAATCTTAGGGTCTATAAATCATCTTTGTTTACAAAAGCTCTATAAAACTAAAACATCACCTTTTCCCCGAAGCAACAATAGAATGAATTACTCAGCTCTTATCTCTTGGTTTACTTCATAACCACATGCTGATTGCTGAATTAAAATTTTGAATTGGAAACGATTAGAAATTTGCTAATTGGTAATGTGCTGCTAGATTTATTCATTCACTCAGAAACTATTTATTGTGTATGTACTATGTGCAGTATATTGCCATTTACTGTACCTCCTAAATGTATTCTTCAAATTCACAACTAATTTCCAAGACATCACCAGGCTTGCCTTTCTGTAAATGCTACACACAGATACACGTGGACATGACATAGTGGACTGCAGAAACCTATTTTATCAAGCACATATCTACAGAAGTACTTCCTGGAGTTTGGGCACAGAAGTCAATACTCATATAAAAGTGAAACTCGATTGATGGTGATAAAAATGAGTTGTTTTTTTCAAACAATTCTCCTGCCTCAGCCTCCGAAGTAGCTGGGATTATAGTCACACAGCACCACACCCAGCTAATTTTTGTATTTTTAGTAGAGACGGGCTTTCACCATGTTGGCCAGGCTGGTCTCGAACTCCTGACCTCAAATGATCCACCCGCCTTGGCCTCCCAAATTGCTGGGATTACAGGCATGGGCCACCGTGCCCTGCACAAAATGAGTTTCTTTTTATTGCTAATGTCCTGTATTTTTATCTTCCTTTCAGGAAATCAAATCAATGAAGAAAAGAATGAGTGAGCTATGTATTGATTTTAACAAAAACCTCAATGAGGATGATACCTTCCTTGTATTTTCCAAGGCTGAACTTGGTAAGTTTTATTATTTTTCTAGATTAAATCATATAATTTAGGCAAATAATGTTACCTCACAGTTTGTTTTACTTTCCAGATACAAAATTTCTAAATCATCGTTCAAATAATTATTTTAAACATGATCCAGTACCTAAGCCCACCACCCCTTCTACAGAAGAGACAATCAAACTAACCAAAATTAGATTTTAGGCTAATGAGAGTATATACAATTTCTAGAGACAGTCCAGAGGGGACTTAATAATCTTTTTTTTTTTTCATAATTTTTCTTGGTAGTTGATACTTGTGTTTAACAGCCTTCAGTGCCTTAAATTTTTTTTTTTTTTTTTTTTTTGACTTGCAATGTTTCCTGCATTGTATCTTAAACTAGTCTCTTCTTATTCAGTCCTGGGTCTTTTTTTTTTTTTCCTGAGACGGGGTCTCTGTCTGTCGCCAGGCTGGAGTACAGTGGCGCAGTCTCAGCTCACTGCAACCTCTGCCTCCCTGGTTCAAGCGATTCTCTTGCCTGAGCCTCCCGAGTAACTGGGACTACAGGCACGTGCCACCACGCCCAACTAATGTTTGTAATTTTGGTAGAGACAGAGTTTCACCACATTGGCCAGGATGGTCTCAATCTCTTGACCTGGTGATCCACCCACCTCGGCCTCCAAAAGTGCTGGCGTGAGCCACCGTGCCCAGCCATCCTGGGTCTTTCTTCACTTAATTTTGCCTGTTCTCCACTGAAACATCATTTGCACAAGTTTACTGAAACCTATTCATATTTTGAATTACCATCTCCCAAGGCACCTTGCTTCTAACAGCTACCACCATTCCAGCAACATCAAAATGATATTTAAAGGATTGTCATTATTTTACTTGAATTTCAGTTACTCCTCAAAATTCCTAGAGCTACTAAAAGGCACCATGCCAATGCTAAATAAACCAGCAATGAGTGGAAAATTTGATATATGAGAAAATGATTTTTTGCAGGTGCTCTTCCTGATGATTTCATTGATAGTTTAGAAAAGACGGATGATGACAAGTATAAAATTACCTTAAAATATCCACACTATTTCCCTGTCATGAAGAAATGTTGTATCCCTGAAACCAGAAGAAGGATGGAAATGGCTTTTAATACAAGGTGCAAAGAGGTATTATAAATGTTTGTCTTTCTTTTGTTTTAATGGAATATTTTAAGAAAAGGGTTTACTTTGTTCACCAATGTCAAAGTCAGCTCAGAGACTGCTATTCCTGTGTGTGTGCACTGTATCTCTAATTCCTCAGACTTACAAGACTTTTAGCTTTTTCATTGCTCATTGACAACCTGCTTGGTGTGGTCACAGGATAAGCTGTTCTAATAAAAATAGAATGGGTTAAACAAATTAGAAGTTGCTTCTCTCCTAAATCAGCAATCCAGCACTGATAAGTCCTGGTTTAATATGAAAAAGCAAAAAGGAAGAAGTAGACAGGGATTCTCAGTCATCTAGCCAGTTCTACCATGATCTGCCTCTCTAGCTATCCAAGTAACCATGAGGACCCTTTTTTCCTTACATAGGACCCATTCACCATTTGTTAATTCCCAGTTTTACTGCCTGAAGCTCAAAGACCAGGATCTCTGGGTGGATACAATCCTGCCTGGTTGTAGCTTCTCGTAATCCAGCAAACTATAAAAGGAAAGACAAGTTATCAGCTCCTCACCCCCACACCCTCCCCAACACCCCCATTGATGGCATAGGAAAAGAATAACCACACTAAAAAGTCCCATTTGGAAAAAGAAAGGCTGGGAAACATAGCGAGCTCTTAGCAATTTTCTAAAACTTTCAAACTCCTTAGGAATTGTGAAGATTCTGTACTGTGTTGAAGTTTCTTGGTTAGCTTGTTGGGCTAAACTTGGATCTACTTTCTCACAAGAATTCCTTTATCAATTGTACTCTATGGCCCCCAGTTTTGCCCACAGGGAATTGTTTTTGTCCATTATCCTTGATGACCATATCTTGGCAGTGGACTGCTGGTCCTGCTAATGTCAGGTAGAATCCCAAGGGTTGCTTTAGGGATCAAATAATCACAAACTTTTGTAAGCCAGACTTACGATATCTTTGGTAATACAGCCTCCTCAAAAACGTAGGTTTCTTGTCTGTTTGCCTCTAATCAGATGCATGTCAAAATAACTATACCCAAATATCACTTTTGGTCATCGTTCTTAAACTTGCCAAATCTTATATACTGGCTTCTGAATTTATCCATTTATCCATCATTATCCATTTAGTGAAGTCTGTTTTCAGGCCCTCTGAACATAGTGAGCTTGTGGAGGAAGGCAGCATTCTCAAAGTCATGTCTACAGTTCAGTAACTCTGAGTGACAACCTTTTCTCATGACACTAGGAATACAGAGCAATTGGCTTTTCCAACCATCTGAAGATTATAGGCCATAGGCAGAACCTCCCTGAGCAGAATTCTTTTCCTTCCATCTTTAGAAACTGGCCAATTCTCACCCAAGTTCATCTCTCCCATGTAATCTTTCAAAAAGCAACAAATGCCAAAAAAAAAACCTCCCAACAGTATTAGTTTTCCCAAACAATTTCTCTAGACTAAGACTCCATAGGTACGTGGCCTGCCTTCTGAATTATGGCAAGCAACAGTTTTCACAAATGCCCATGGTATAATGAGAACCTGCTTCCCAACCTGCAGCGTCTGGGTCCTTACCTTCCATTCCTGTACATTTTTCATTTTTATTGTTAGTAGCAACTGATTTCTGGTATTCATCTCTACATATGTCAGGGTCCAGGCTAAGGGACTTGACAGAAGTCAAAAGCACAGTAACTCAAATAAGATAAAAGTTTTATCTTTCCAGAAAGTAGATTAGAGGTTACCAGGGAATGGGGAGAGGGAAGACTGGGGAGTTAATGGTTACAGAGTTTCTGTTTGGGGTAATGGAAGAGTTTTAGAAACAGATCATGGTAGTGGTTGCACAACGGAATGAGTATTATTGCCGTTGAATTTTACATGGCTAAAATGGCAGATTTCACCACTATTTTGGAAAAAAAAAAGAGATTTGTCTTGTAACTGTAAGTCAAGAGGTGAGTGGTCCAGAGGTGGAAGACAGCTCTACCATCCTCAGTATGTGGCTTTCAGGGTCATTGTTGTCATTTTCAGTTCACAGCCTGCGGCAAAGATCTATCAGACATGACCCAGAAATTTCACTTATCACTTCATTCACATCCCATTGTCCCATTGAGTATCACATGGCCACAGCTGGCTTTGAGGAAGGCTGGGAAATATAATTAGGTAACCATGTGTCCAGCAAACATTCAGAGTTCAGTCAGGCACAGTGGCTCACACTTGTAATCCCAACACTTTGGGAGGCCAAGGCAAGAGGACTGCTTGAAGCCAGGAGTTCAAGACCAGCCTGAGCAATATGGCAAGACCTCACCTCTGTGAAAACTTAAAAAAACAAAAAACAAAAAAATTCAGAGTTCTATTACTAAAAGAAAAAATAAGAGAACAGATACTGAGAGAAAATTGGCAGTCTAGAGAGAAGATCTGGAGAAACTCCAAAAAATGAAAGAAAATCTAATTAAACTATTTAATTTTAGAACTTGGAGAATTGCGTTATGTGTGTTTCTCTATTCTGTGTTTCCATTTTAGTTTTAAAATAATAATAATTATAACAGATAATTATATAGTGTTTGGTTATGTGCCAGGCATTTGTCTAAGTACTTTACATATATTCTCATTTGAATCTTCATGATTACTCTCCAGTGTAGGTATTTTTATTTTCCACATCTTACAAATGAGAAAACTGAGGCTCAGAAAGCTCCAGAATTTGCCCAAGATCAGGTAACTAGTAAATGGTGGAACCAAATTTTGAATGCAGGTAGTGTGACCGCCGTGTGTGATTTTCCTTAGAAATCAGTCTGTAAATAATTTGCTGATTTGATTATTGGGGTTAGTTTTTTTCTTTTACTTTAACATTTATTTACTTCCTCTAGGAGAATTATTTTTTATTTCATTGTTAAGAAAATAATAAAATAATATCAATTTTTGTATTTGCAATACAAATAAAATATAAAAGATATTTGTAATGTTAACTTGGGAAAAATCCCTGAAACATTTTTAAAAGCAGAATTTTATGGTGCCTTAGTTCATTTGTGCTGCTATAACAAAATACCACAGATGAAGTAATTTATGCACTATACACATTTTTCACAGTTCTGAAGGATGTGAAATTCAAGATCAAGGGGTACCAGCATTCAGTGTCTAGAAAGGGCCTTTTTTCTGTGTCCTCACATGGCAGAAGGGGGAAGGCAGAAAAGGCCCAAGTTCTTTAGCTGTAGCCCTTTTATAAGGAACTAATTCATTAGTCACTTCCCAAAAGGCCCTGCCTTTTAACGCTACCACAAAAGAGATTATGTTTCAACACGTGAATTTTGGGGGACATTCAGATCATAGCATGTGGCATTAAGTATATTCACATTGAGAATATGTTTATATTTTTCTGCAGCCATCACCTCCATCCACCTGCAGAGATTTTTCATCTTCCTTAACTGAAACTGTACCCATTAAGCATTAACTCCCCACTACCCCCTTTCCCCAGACCCTGGCAGTTACTATTCTATTCTGTGTCTCTGTGAATTTCACTACTCTAGGAACTTCATATAAGTGGAATAATAAAATATTTGTCTTTTTGTATCTGGCTTATTTCACTTAGCATACCTTAAAGGATCATCCGCGTTGTAGCGTGTCAGAATTTCCTTCCTTGTGAAGGCAGAGTTATATTCCATTGTATATGTATGCCACATTTTATTTACCTGTGTATCTGTCCATGGACACTTGGGTTGCTTCCATCTTTTGGCTGTTATAAATCATGCTGCTGTGAACACGGGTGTGTCGATCTCTCTTCGAGTCTCTGCTTTCAATTCTCTGTGTTATTTACCGAGATGTGGAATTGCTGGATCATATGGTTTGATTTTTTTAGGAATCACCATACCATTTTCTACAGCAGCTGAACTACTTTACATTCTCATCAGCAATGCGCAAGGGTTCCAATTTCTCCATTTCCTCACCAGCACATTTTCTGTGTTTTTAAAAATAGTAGCCATACGAATGGGTATGAAATTAAAAATGTTATGTTTTGTGTCTTTTACCACAATAAAAATGTCCAAAAGAACTTAAAGTACCAATATTAGGTGCAGTTCTGTCAGTAAAAATAAATACGGATTCACTATATTCATGAAAAATATATTTTCATTCTAAGTTTATAGCGCCTACAATTTTGTTAAGACCTCATAGTTATCTCCTGAGGTTTAAAAAGTCATAAATTATTTCATGAATCCGAAAAGAAAGAAAAAAAAGCCTATAACACCAAATGGGACAGAAGTTTAAATGCTCTAAAAATATTTGACAATTTTACAAACCTAAAAATACATACAATAATTCTTCCTTTTAGTGCTTCGGATCAAATTATTGATTAGCCTTTGTTTTGTTGCTGTTGTTTATTACTAGGAAAACACCATAATTTTGCAGCAGCTACTCCCACTGCGGGCCAAGGTAGCCAAACTACTCGGTTATAGCACACATGCTGACTTCGTCCTTGAAATGAACACTGCAAAGAGCACAAGCCGCGTAACAGCCTTTCTAGGTTAGTTTTTTTTTTTTTCCTATGACTGTTTTGCTGTACCATGTCAACGGGACAGAAGGCCTCAGAACATAATATGCCTTTGAGGACATCCTACTTTTCATTCATTCGAGAGAAGTATATTGATCACCTATTATGTGTTAGAAGTATGCTTGGTTTTAGGGACTGCTCATTGTTTATATTGCTGTATAGGCCTGGCTTCACTGTATCTTATATCTTGTTTAGGCTCTTTATACTAATTCCTAATATGACATGTAGGTTCTAACAGAGAGTTACTAAAGTTACTGGCATTATTCACTGTTGTCACTAGGGATTTAGTAGTCATAGCATGGCTGCTTATGAATTTGTATAAAATAAGCTGACAAATATGATGTACATAAAAATAGAACATATATAAACAAAAAACATTTAATATTCCAGAAACCACTTGTTAATATACAGAACTAATATAAAATAATATACATAAAAACTATTATCTAATAACTGTAATATAAAATAATATACATAAAAACTATTATCTAATGACTATATTAAGGTTTAACACCATAAATGGTACGTATTTGTTATTGTATAATTCACTCATTCATTCATGAGACATTTATGAAATAACTATTCAGTCTTAGGCAGTATGCTAAATAGTAGGATTACAGAAAGGAATAAAACAAGGTCCTTTTTGCTGGGCATGGCAGCTCATGCCTGTAATCCCAGCACTTTGGGAGGCCAAGGTGGAAGGACTACTTGAGGCATAGAGTCCAAGACCAGCGTGGGAAACAAAGAGACCCCAACCCTGTGTCTACAGAAAAATTTAAAAATTAGCCAGGCACGGTGAGACGTGCCCGTGTAATTCTAGCTACTTGGGAGGCTGAGGTGGGAGGATCCCTTGAGCCCAGTAGTTCAAGGCTACAGTTAGCCATGATCACGCCACTGTGCTCCAGCCTGGGTGACAGAGCAAGACCCTGTCTCTGAAAATAAAGATAATTTTTTAAAAAGAGGCAAGGTCCTTTTCTCAATGGATTTGTCACTTACTGGAAACAACAGAAGTGTGAACAGGTAATTACTCTACAGTTTGATGCATGATATAAAAGAGAATGGCTAAGAGAGTTAACAGGTTTGTAGAGAATGTTTCCTTCAGTGGTGATTGCATACACTAAAATGTTCCTTAGTAACCACCTGACTAACTTAATTCATTTAAAGGAGTTTTCCTTCTAATTTGAGATTGGCATATTCCTATGCAAAGTGTCCTCTTGGGAGGCTAAGGTTTGAGGATCCCTTGAATCTGGGAGTTGGAGTCCAGCCTGGGCAACATAGCAAAACTCTCTCACTCTCTCACTTGCTCGCTTTCTCTCTGTATATATGTGTGTGTGTGTGCGTGCGCGTGCACGCGTGTGCGTGTGTATACATACATGCACACACACACACACATACATATATGGAAAACTGTATCTTTGTATCCTCCATGAGTTTCCTCATTTCACAGTATTCCTCGGGCTGCTCCTCCATCTCTCACTTTGTGGGGTTGCCTTCTGAACTGCCATGTCCTCTGCGGAGCCAGGCACGTTTATATCTTAACATATGTAACAGAAATGTAAAAAATAAATACATAAGACCATACTCATTTAGCCAAATGCAGTAAAGTGAAAAATTGACCACAGCAATATAATTTGTGGTTCTCAGAACTTTCTCCAGCTGAAAACTGGAATTGCTGTGTCCAGATAGACCTTCATAGAAATGGGGTAATGAGAAACTAAACCCATTGATAGGAATTTCTAGATAACATTGACCACAGGTCACGTCTGATATGTTTTTCCTAGCTTTCTTAGGAGTCCGACTAACTGCATCGAAGAATAATCATGTACATGACTTTGGCTTCACTGTTGCTTTACTTCCTGAATAACATTCTTCAGTCAGTGTTCTCTGAGATAAACTTGAGCTTTGGTGATGAATTGAGGAACTCATGGCCCAGTTCTGGTGGTGTTAAAAGAAAAAGGGGTGGCCGGGCACGGTGGCTCATGCCTGTAATCCCAGCATTTTGGGAGGCCAAGGCGGGTGGATCATGAGGTCAGGAGATGGAGACCATCCTGGTTAACACAGTGAAACCCCATCTCTACTAAAAAAAAAAAATACAAAAAACTAGCCAGGTGTGGTGGCGAGCACCTGTAGTCCCAGCTACTCTGGAGGCCAAGGCAGGAAAATGGTTTGAACCCGGGAGTAGAGCTTGCAGTGAGCTGAGATTGGGCCACTGCACTCCAGCCTGGGCGACAGAGCGAGACTCCGTCCCAAAAAAATAAAAAATAAAAAATAAAAGAGGAGCTAGGACCATAAAATCAATAACCCCGAAGAGCAAAGTGTGCTTCCATAATAGAGCCTACTTTCCTCCCTCACTTTTTTCCTCCTTTCCCTCTTTCCCCCTGATTTTTCTGTATTGAATACTGCAAAGGAGGAAGCACCGTGCTAAAACACAGGTGGTATTTATGAGTATGTTTGCTCCCAAAAGCAAGTAGATCACTAACTTTTCCCTTTTCCTTCACAGATGATTTAAGCCAGAAATTAAAACCCTTGGGTGAAGCAGAACGAGAGTTTATTTTGAATTTGAAGAAAAAGGAATGTGAAGACAGGGGTTTTGAATATGATGGGAAAATCAATGCCTGGGATCTATATTACTACATGACTCAGACAGAGGAACTCAAGTACTCCATAGACCAAGAGTTCCTCAAGGAATACTTCCCAATTGAGGTGGTCACCGAAGGCTTGCTGAACACCTACCAGGAGTTGTTGGGACTCTCATTTGAGCAAGTGACAGATGCCCATGTTTGGAACAAGAGTGTTACACTTTATACTGTGAAGGATAAAGCTACAGGAGAAGTATTGGGACAGTTCTATTTGGACCTCTATCCAAGGTACTGAGGATCACGTTGTTGGAAGGGACCTTAGGGATTCAGCTGCTACCTACTTTAAGACTCTACTCTTGGCCAGGCACAGTGGCTCATGCCTGTAATCCCAACACTTTGGGAGGCCAAGGTGGGAGGATTGCTTAAGGCTGGGAGTTTGAGACCAGCCTGGGCAATACAGTGAGGCCCTGTCTCTACAAAAAATTTAAAAATTAGGTCAAGTGCGGTGGCTCATGCCTGTAGTCCCAGCACTTTGGGAGGCCGAGGCAGGTGGATTGCTTGAGTCTAGGACTTCAAGACTAGCCTAGGCAACATGGCAAAACTCTGTTGTTACAAAAAATACAAAAATTAGCAGGTGTGGTGGTACATGCCTATAGTCCCAGGTACTCGAGAGGCTGAGGTGAGAGGATCACTTGAGCCTCAGAGGTGGAGGCTGCAGTGAGCCAAGATTGCAACACTGCACTCTAGCCTCTGTGACAGAGTGAGACCCTGTCTCAAAAAAATAATAATAATTAAAAATTAGCCAGGTGTGGTAGTGCACACCTGTAGTCCTAGCTGTGCTGAAGCAGGAGGGTCACTTGAGTCCAGGAGTTTAAGGTTACAGTGAACTATTATCATACTGCTGCATTCTAGCCTAGGTGACAGAGCTAGACCCTATCTCTAAAAAAATTAATTAAAAAACAGACACTACTCTTTCATATTTCTCACATGGGCTTCTTAGTATAGAGATTTAAAATGTGGGTCTGAAGCCAGAATGTCTGGCATCATCATTTACTAGGTAAGTTACTTAATTTTTCTATGCCCCAGTTTTCTTACCTATATTATAGGTCCTATAAAATGGGAATATTAATAGTAGCTGCTTTGTGTGGTCATTGTAAGGATTAAATTGGTTAAATACATGCAAAGCATTTAGAAGACTGCTCAGCACATAGCGAAGGCTTAATCAAAGTTAGCTGCTACTATTGTCATTGTCATCATCATCTAGTTTGTGCACTACATTTACTTAATTTAATATTGACCACCACCCAGGCATGGTGGCCCACACCTGTAATCCCAGCATTTTGGAAGGCTGAGGTGGGCAGATCACTTGAGGTCAGGAGTTCGAGATCAGCCTGGCCAATATGGTGAAACCCCATCTCTACTAAAAATACAAAAATTAAACAGGCATCTGTAGTCTCAGCTACTCGGGAGGCCAAGGTATGAGAATAGCTTGAACCCTGGAACCAAGATCACGCCAATACACTCTAGCCTGGGCAACAGAGCAAGACTCTTAACTCAAAAAACATAAATAAATAAAATAAAATTGAGCACCAGAATATTTATTAGGTAATCTGTCTGCTATTCATCTATGGCCACTCCCTTCAGTCTGGCTGAGAGGCAGCACAGTTTAGTAGAAGTAGCAAAACCTTTGCAGTCAGTCAGATTTGAGTTTGAATGCTTGAGTGACGTAACCTCTTTGAGATTCTGTTTCTTCCTCTGTAATATGGGACTGGAAATCCTTTTACAGGATTATTTTATTCATTAAAGACTATATATGCAAATCATCTTGCCCAGATATCAGTGGTAACAATTACAAAAAAATGTTATAATTGTGTCTGTAGCATGTAATAACTATAGATTCCATAGTGTTTCATCAGACACAAAAGAATTTGGATCTCTTTCTCCCCAGGCTACTTTCTAAAGCAAAGTCAACCTCTTATAATTACTAATCATTTTACTAAATAGATCAAAGTAGAGGATAGTATCCCCCTCATTCAGTAATACATACAGGTTTGTAATCCACTGACTTTGAGTGCTGAAAAGTAGGTTGAGTAACTGTGTCATCCAGTTGGTGGGCAGAAGTGTCTTTAAGTGATTATCCCGGTGTATTAGTCCATTCTCACAATGCTGTAAAGAACTGACTGAGACTGGGTAATTTATAAAGGAAAGAAGTTTAATTGACTTACAGTTCTGCAGGGCTGGGGAGGCCTCAGGAAACTTACAATCATGGCAGAAGGGGAAGCAAACACATCCTTCTTCACGTGGCAGCAGGAAGGGGAAGTGCCAAGCAAAGGGAGGAAAGCCCCTTATAAAACCATCAGATCTTGTGAGAACTCACTCACTATCATGAGACTGGCATGGGAGTAACTGCCCCTGTGAATCAATTACTTCCCACCAGGTCCCTCCCACGATTCGTGAGGATTATGATAACCACAGCTCAAGATGAGCTTTGGGTGGAGACACAGCCAAACCGTATCACCTGGTGCTTTACGGACTTACTTTCACTTATATTATGACCTAAAAGTAAAACCCTGCCAAATATAGATGAGTCTTACTTTTAACTAAAAAGTGTCAGGATATAGTTTTAACCCAAGAACTCTTTCAGGAGTAATCCTTTAACATTGGAGTCTGCTATAACTGTCCTCAGATTTTCTTTCCAGGGTCAAAGAACAATTCCTGCTACCTCATTCTGCTGTCTCCCTGCCAGGATATAATTAATTTCTTTTGTACTCAGAGATCTGGTCATTGCTACCAGCACCCTGGTATGGGTGGCAGAGTAATCTTTGTGAAAGCAGTGACCTAAAGTTAATGTTTACTTCCTGTCATCTTAGATGTTCTCTTCATGAAGGTAAAAGGGATTAACTTGTTTTATTTGTCTAACTGACTTTTAAAAAGGGTATTCAGAATAGGTTTTAAAAAGACCAGGTACTGGCTGGGTGCAGTGGCTGTAATCCCAGCACTTTGGAAGGCCAAGGCAGGTGGATCACCTGAGGCCAGGAATTCAAGACCAGCTTGGCCAACATGGTGAAACCCTGTCTCTACTAAAAGTACAAAAATCAGGCTGGGCACAGTGACTCACACCTGTAGTCTCAGCACTTTGGGAGGCCAAGGAGGGCGGATCACCTGAGGTCAGGAGTTTGAGACCAGCTTGGCCATCATGGCAAAACCCCATCTCTACTAAAAAAACGAAAATTAGCTGGGCGTGGTGGCAGGCACTTGTAGTCCTAGCTACTCTAGAGGCTGAGGCAGGAGAATCATTTGAACCCAGAAGGTGAAGGTTATAGTGAGCCAGGATCTTGCCACCACATCCCAGCCTATGCAACAGAGTGAGACTCCATCTCAAAACAACAAGAATAAAATTAACCAGCATGGTGGTACACACCTGTAATACCAGCTACTCAGGAGGCAAAGGCAGGAGAATTGCTTGAACCTGGGAGGCGAAGGTTGCAGTGAGCTGAAATCATGCCACTGCACTCCAGCCTGGGTGACAGAGCAAGACTCTGTCTCAAAGAAAAAAAAAAAAAAAACAGGTACTATTAGTCTTCTGAGCAAAAGAAAAGGGGGAAAGGACACCTACTCCCAGAATGTAGTCTGATAGCTTTTGGAGAATGAAGTCTGATAGCTTTTGGAGAATGAAGTCTGATAGCTTTTGGAGAATGAAGTCTAATAGCTTTTGGAAAGACCATCACGGATGCCACACTATGTAAGGATAGACTAATTGATAGTATAATTTATGCATTTTCCCAGGCTAACTAAAAGCATTCTGTTTCAAAAAGGCCTGTCTGGTTTATAAAAGAAGCTTATTTAATTGTGATTACTGATTCTTTCCTCCTCAAATAAAAGGAGAAACCTTATTGTCTGAAATTCAGTTTTTTATTCCGATTTTAATGAAAAGGCTGCCTAGTGAGTCAAGCTGTATCTTTTATTTCAAATTTGTGTTTCAGCATTGTTTAGTGTTTAATAATCCCATCTTTGAAAAAGAAAAGTAGAACGTCATTAAAATAAATTGGACATTCAGCTGTCGGTGTCACATGCGTTCTTCATTCTTACCTTGAGATTTTTCAACAAAAGAAACTTTGGAGTTCACACAGAATGATAGTGGAGTTATTGTTTGTTTAGCGTTAGGTTTTCCATTTTGGCAAAATAACCTACTTTCTAAAAGGTAAATTAATGTTTAAAAGCATCTCTGGTAACAGATAGGGCTTAATGACCGGAAGAGGCCATGCCAATGTAGTTGCTAGAGGAGAATTTTCCTATCTTGTCAACGCGTGTTTCTGGCTCCTAGGGAAGGAAAATACAATCATGCGGCCTGCTTTGGTCTCCAGCCTGGCTGCCTTCTGCCTGATGGAAGCCGGATGATGGCAGTGGCTGCCCTCGTGGTGAACTTCTCACAGCCAGTGGCAGGTCGTCCCTCTCTCCTGAGACACGACGAGGTGAGGACTTACTTCCATGAATTTGGTCACGTGATGCATCAGATTTGTGCACAGGTGAGTTTTTTTCCCCCAGTAAACCTGCCAGTTGGTTTTTTAAGAAAACTTTTTGACTGCTGTCAGGTTTCTGCTCCTAACATGTTTTTTTCAGAAGCTGAATGTGTTCAAGAATTTTATAGGCCTCCTGCAAAACCAAAATTTTCCTTCTCCTGTCCTCTTTCACAACATATTTTTACTTGGAGGTTCATCTACCAGTGAAAGAGGTTTCTTGAATAACGGCCTATGGAAAAAGAATAAGACTATCTATAAGGAAAGGTTACAGATACTTTGCTCTTTCCTTGTAATCCTTTTCCATAGGAATTTGGTATAAATTTCTCAGAAAAACTGCGCTGTAATCTCTGTCTTCTGCTTATCAATGCTTTGTTTACTTTAGTGATTTTTCAATCCTCTTAGACTCTTTACTCATTTTTAAATAATAATTTTGTAACATTTCGCTTTACTAACTTCAAATTAAAATCATAGATAATATAACTATACAAAGAATTTGGCAGAGTGGAGGTGTATGTGTGCAGTAGATTAAAACTGATTTTTTATTTCTGAAAATAAAAAGTACATTTATTCTCAACTTTGTAATACAATCCATTTAATTAGGCTCATGCCAGGCATGAACCGTATGAACCTGCTAACATTTAACCATTATTAACATAGGAAAATGTCTAGTTCAGCAATTCAACCTAATAGTTGAAATATACTATTATTGGCCAGGCATGGTGGCTCATGCCTGTAATCCCAGCACTTTGGGAGGCCAAGGTGGAAGGAGTGCCTGGGTCTAGGAGTTTGAGAACAGCTGGGCAACATGGGAAAACAAACAAAAATACAAAAATTATCCAGGCATGGTGGTATATGCCTGTGGTCCCAGCTACTTGTGAGGCTGATGTGGGAGGATCACTTGAGTCCAGGAGGTTGAGATTCCAGTGAGCCATGATTGTGCCACTGCACTCCAGCCTAGGTGACAGAGCAAGACCTTGACTTAAAAAAAAAAAAAGAAAAGAAAACCACCCAAAAAACTGATAGTAACAGAAATGAAGGTACAGTTTTCCTAATTTGAAATCTTTATATGTCTCTAAAGGTAGACTTAAAAAACAACAGTGACAAAAACAAAAACCTTTTTATTAGGATACTTTTAGATTCGCAGAAAACTTGCAAAGACAATACAAGGATTGCCTGTATTGTCCCTCACCTTGTCACCCCTACTTCTAACATCTTCCATTCCAGTAGCACATTTGTCATAGCTAAGAAGCCAGCATTCATACAGTACTCCTGACTGAACACCACAATTTATTTGGATTTTCCTTAATGGTCTTTATACAGAGAATCTTTTTAAATCAGTACAGTGTCCTCACTGAATATAAATGGAAGAAATTTTTGTGTTTTTCAAGTGATAATACTTGGATATGACTATGCAGTAAGACATAATGAAGTATGCCGGAGGTTTGCACTGTGTGGAAGTAATCCTGAATGGAGCGTCAGCAAGTGCAAACTGATTGAAGTGGTTTATGTTGTCAGCTCAAGTCCTAGAACAGTGCTGACAATGGTGGCATGATTTTCCAAAATGATGAACACTTCCTGGGAAACTTCAAAAACAAGTAATCTCACTTCGATTTACACAGTAGATCCTAGTACTTGTAGTCTTAGAAATTAAAATTGTGTAAAAAAATGCTTCACAAGGTTAGGCATAGCAGCTCACACCCGCAACCCTAGCATGTTGGGAGGTCGAGGCCGGCAGATTGCCTGAAACTCAGGAGTTCAAGACCAGCAACATTGTGAAACCCAGTCTCTACAAAAAATACAAAAATTAGCCAGGCATGATAGCACACACATGTAGTCCCAGCTACTCAGAAGGCTGAGGCAGGAGGATTGCCTGAGCCCAGGAGGTCGAGGCTGTGGTGAGCTGTGCTCACTGCACTCCAGCCTGGGTGAAAAAGTGAGACCCTGTCTCAAAAAAAAAAAAAAAAAAGCTTTGCAAAAATATGTACAGTGGGGTTAGTTTCTCGGCTCAGTTACTGATAGTTTTTTTCATTTATGTGAATAGTCCAGCAGGGAGTATGAATGACAAGCAGGACATGGAACAGTCTTTTTGTTGTCCCAACATGCGCAGAATCAGTCCTGTGCATCCAGCATCCTTATATCCCAGAGTAGCCCTAATCATTGTAATAACCCAAAATGTACCCATTCATTTCCAAAATGCTTCTGTCACCTTTGTTTAAAAACTGTTTGGTTCTTTCAACATTTTATCTTTTATCCTGGTGCTTCCATCTTTTGTTTTAAAAAACAGAGGGGAATAATATATGAATATGTCCAGAGAAATGTCCTGATATAACCATTTTTAATCTCTCTTTAATCCAAGGAAAATAAATCTTTCAGAATAATCTAACCTTTCTTTCTTAGGTGATTTTAAAATCTATTATCATAGCACTGACTGGACATGGTGGTTCATGCCTGTAATCCCAGCACTTTGGGAGGCCAAGGCAGGAGGATTGCTTGACCCCAGGAGTTCAAGACCAGGCTGGGCAACATGGCAAAAACTCATCTCTACTAAAAATACAAAAAAATTAGCTGGGTGTGGTAGTGTGGCTAGGCTTCGCAAGGCTAGGCATGGCAGCTCATACCCACAACCCCAGCACTTTGGGAGGCTGTAGTAGTCCCAGCTACTTGGGAGGCTGAAGTGGGAGGATGGTTTGAGCCTGGGAGGTGGAAGTTGCAGTGAGCCAAGGTTGTGCCATTGCACTCCAGCCTGGGCGATAGAACCAGAGCCTGTTCAAAAAATAAATAAAATAGGCCAGGCTTGGTGGCTCATACCTGTCATCCAAGCACTTTGGGAGGCCCAGGCAGGTGGGTCATCTGAGGTCAGGAGTTCAAGACCAGCCTGGCCAACATGGCAAAACCCCGTCTCAACTAAGAATACAAAAATTAGCCGGGCATGCTGGCACATACCTTTAATCCCAGCTACTCAGGAGGCTGAGGCAGGAGAATCGCTTGAACCCAGAAGGCAGAAACTGCAGTGAACCAAGATTGTGCCACTGCACTCCAGCCAGGGTGACAGAGTGAGACTCTGTCTCAAAATAAATAAATAAAGTCTCTTGTCATAGCACTAGGATCCCTGAAATATTTATCATGTGGACCTTCTATCAATATCCACACTGTGGTTGACATTTCCTTTAATTAGGATAACTCCAGTTTGTATTTAAAAAACATTTTTATAATTTAGAAAAGTCAAAAATATTTTCTTAATTTTAAATTTATGGTGTATTACTTATCCAAAATCCAGTTATATATTTGTACATAGATTAATAATGACCTACTTTTAAAATAGTAGATGCTCACATTTTTGGATCTGAGGACCCTATGAAAATCTGACTTATGCTGTGGGTACCTCTTGTAGAAAAATACACCTACAAATATGCGTAAAATTCCAAAGGGCTCACAGACCCCTCAAAGCCCTCACCGTAATGAATCTCAAGTTAAGAACTCCTGAGTTATAGCAGTTTCCTTCTTACTTGGTTATTTCATAAGGAAGCATTTTGGTCTTTTAATCACATTTATTAAGATAATAGTGATCTTCAAATAGGTTTTTCAATGCTGTTGATGCATGTTCTTTTTTCAGGCACAGTCCTCTTATAAACTTATTATCATATGCTTGCCATGTATTTGGTCAGTTCTCCACAACTCATTCCATTGTTCCCATTATTTCTTACATTAATCATGATCTTTTGAGATAGTCAATTTAGTACTGGAAAATCTTTTTTGGTACTCTGACATTTTAGAGCTGTCTGACTCGTGACTGAACTATTAATATATATATTGCATTCACCAGCTTAGTGTGTCTCTCTTGAAACAGTAGACATATTCAGTTCTTAAGTTTTGCCTAACCTCATCCATGAGCACAAAATGTGTCATACTGATGAATAGTGTGTTGGTACAATTCTTTGCTTGGTCATATCTTCATGAGATTATCTTTGAAAAATATCTTCTTGTCTATTAATCCTTTCAGATAGCCTGTAATATTTTAAGAACTTTTAAGGTCATCACCAGTGATCACCACTTTTGTTTTTCGTAGGCACCAGTCCATATATTTGCAAATTTATAATTTGAAAGCCTTTTGTACTGACCTAAAATAGATGATAGTGAATATGGAGATTGACAACTTCTATGTTCAGTAATACTTCTAGTTTACCTGAGAAATATATAGTGAATTAAAAATTTGCCACATATATTCAGTAGATTGGTTTTAAGAAATGGCAGCTCAGTGTTTGAGCTCTCCACTGTGGCAGTTGGCAGGTTTCATGACTAGAAGAGCTTGTTTGAGCTTGTCATCGTAATATTTAAACATGTTGGCAAGAACATCTAGTTTTCAAACATGTAGATGTGCTAGATCAATATGTCTACTATCTCATCATTCAGGACATGAGTTTCACTCGTATTACGTTTACAGGGTAGGTAGGTAATTTTGAAGATAGCAATCAAGAGGTGATATCTCTAGTATCTGTTTCTGTTGCATGGCTTTATTGTGCTTTGAGCTGTCAGTAATCACTGGCCTTTGAACTTATGTAAAGTAGTAATGCCTCTTAGCCTCCATTGTGATGTCTGTGTTATGTTGTACGTTAAGAGCGGTGATGAATTTTGAATTGTAAAGATGTCATTATTCTATGGAAACACATCAGAATTACACTAAAGCCTTCTTAATTAAATGTGAAAGGGATGGGCAGAGGAACTTCAAATTATGTGACTTGAAATCATTAATTTGGTTGAAAACTACTAAACAAAGCAGCTCGTCTGCTCTAAATATTTAGATTAGATACTGCTGTAGATAAATGTACCCTGTATTCGTCAGAAAGGCACCCTGGTCTTATGGCAAGAGCACTGGATCAAACATCATCTGTGTATCTGTGGGCCTGGCTGTGTGACTTGGGGAAAGTTATTTAAACTCTTTGAACCATCTCATT